TTGTTTTCTTAATATGAGGAAACAGAGTGGGAAAAGAGTCATCAAAATCAAAGAGACTGGCACAGCACTTGCCTGGCAAGTGCAAGGTCGTGAGTTCAATTCCAGTATCAGAAAAAAAAAAAAAAAAATCAAAGAGACTACAAACTCTTTCAAAATTATCCTAAAAATTATCTTTTGATTCCACAACTCCAGTCTACTATATATCCTAGAGAAACTCTTGTATATATTTGCCAGGATACTTATATGAGAATATTCATGGCACACTGTTTCTGGTTTTTGTTTTTTATTTTTGGCTTTTTGAGACAGGGTCTTGCTACATAGTTCAGGCTGGTCTTGAACTATGTAGCCTAGGCTGACCTCCTGCCTCAGCCTTCTAGATGCTGGGATTACAAGTATATATCACCACACCTGACTGTTTTTAGTAGCAAAACAGAACAATAATAACAAAAATGTCCACCAACAAGAGAATGGATAAATTGGAGTGCAATAGAATATTACACAGCACTAAAAATGAATAAAGCTATATCAACTGCATGAATAAGTCAATCTTGGAATTGAGGGGGAGAAATAGAGAAGCCCTAACACAATGTAGTATCACTTCATAAAGCTCAAAATCCAGCAAAATTATCCAATATATCATTTAGGGAAGTGTACTTACCTTCCCTTTAGGAGAAATGAAATAAATACAATCCTACGAGGGGATCACAGGTAAGGCAAGACAGGAGGAGAGCTTAGGAGAGGAACTGGAAAGTAGCTTCAGCAGCTGTAATAGTGCACTCACTAGAGCAGTGTGTCTGTGAGTGGCTGCCTCGTCATGTTCATAACTTACAGAACGGGAGGCTGGGGATTTAGCTCAGCGGCAAAGCGCCTGTCTGGCAAGTGCAAGGTCATGAGTTCGGTTCCCGGTAGCGGAGGAAATAAATAAATAAATAAATAAATAACTTACAGAACCTATTCTTGAGTATGTAACATATAAACCAGCAACTGAATACCCCCTTGCTGGTGGTACAGTCCTAGGTATTCCATAAGCAAATAACAGCTAAAAATCACTATTGGCTCCTAGTTACTGAGCATGTCCTAAGCTCCAAGCACCGCTGAGCTGTATAGGTATCTCATTCCATCTTCACTTGCCTCTGTAAAGAAAATATCATTATTAGATTTATTTCATATATAAGGAAACAAAGGCTTAGGAAAATTAAATGGCTTGTCCAGAGTCACTCAGCCTCAAAGTGGCAAAGTGTGACTGACCCTGTAGGCCGGGCAGGCAGCAGCATGCTATGCTGGCTCTGCCCGTGGTTATAATGAAGAGGGATTTGCTTACTTATTTTTTCCTTTCAGAGATATGTTTTGAAACTTATGGCGATAAGAACATTGAATTGTCAGTAAATAGTGCCCATGAAGGGATAGCGGATGAAATATGTTTGGTTTTGGTTTTGGGTTTTTGTTTTGTTTTGTTTTGTTTTTTGTCTTTTTGAGACAGGGTCTCCCTATGCAGTTCAGGCTGGCCTTGAGCTGACTTTGTAGCCCAGGCTGGTCTCAAACTCTCAAAGATCCTCCTGCCTCAGCCTCCCAAGTGCTGGGATTAAAGGCATGTGCCCCCATGCCTGGCCTTTTTTTTTTTTTTTTTTTTGTCTTTTGAAATATGTTTTTTCATCCGCAAAAGACTAGCTCAAAGGGAATGGATTTTTTTTTTAAATCATTATTTAATGGCCATTTATGCAGAAAACAGTTTAAACAGTATATAAAATTAGGGGCTGGGGATTTAGCTCAGCGGCAAAAGCGCCTGCCTGGCAAGCGCAAGGTCGTGAGTTTGGTTCCCGGTACCGGAGAAAAACAAAAAAAAAAAAAAGAAGAAACAGTATATAAAATTAAAATTATTTTCACATAAGGAATACACT